AGATCATTGTGCTAACATGCACAATTACATTAACATTTTTGTACTTTTAATATGTATGTCAAGGCAACATAAATAACATAGGTAGCAAATATTTGCAATACCTGTGCATTCTCCATGTTTTATCCCTTAAAGACCATAAAAGTGTGGAAAAAATACCCTTTGTTCTGCCAGAAATTGCATTCAGCCACAAAGGCTAGGCTCACATCTGTGTTGGTCAAGAACCCGTGTGTACCACACGTGTTCCCAACCCGTACGCTCTTTTGCAGATGTTTGGGGTTGTCTTTAGCTTTCTAATGCCACCCTACGCATCAGAAAACATGGTGTATTTTTGGGTGGGCAAAATCGCACATAGTTCCTGCTTTAAAAAAGGGTTGGATTTTTTTCTCAAGGGCACACCAGCCCAATCAAAGGAATGGGTTACTGTACCTGCGCAAACTTTGACCACATGACCGACACTAGTGTGAACCTAGACTAAGTCCTGTTGTGGCCTACACCACACAGCTTTTTGTTCTGGACTGAGTTTTGTCAGCTCTGCCCAGTGTCTTTAGCTACACTACCAAACCATTCCTCCTTTCAGATCTCCATCTCAAGGCTAGTCATTCTGTAGTCCAGAATAGGAACTAGGAGTGCTCTTTAAAATAACCCAGCAAGTGTGGAGTAGAACATGGGACAGCTCTAAACTTCTGAGAGCAAAAGTATTTTGTATTTTTGCACTGCTCAAAAAGAAAATGCGTCTATTGTATATTTAATGGATGAAAATGGAGCAAATAAGAGAAGCACATTGTTGGGATTTACATACACTTTAAGGATAAATCATGTGTACCCTGCAGATCTCCGTAACACCCACTTGTCTCAGGTAAATAATTCCGGGGGGGGAGTCAAACAGATTAGTTTGTCCCAGCTGATGACTGCTTGGCAAAAGATATCTATCAAGGCTAGGGATGCCTTTACCACCTGCAGGCTTTTTTAATCTACCTATGTATAGCCAGATGAAATACTCAGACTTTTCTGCGGTGGTGCAGCATGTGAATGCTTTCGGAAGATTTCTTGGCTCGCCATTAGTTGGAAGAAATTGATGCTGCTCCCTATAGATCCACTATCTGAACCGTTGCCTCCCTTGATTCACCTCAGAGTAGTCTATTTGGTTAAATATCTGGGAGTAAATATGTCTAACTCCCCCAGAGATTACATTTGAGATATTTGGCCCTTTCTAAATTTCAAATGCAGTGTATTGTGTGGTGCAAGCTACGTCTCTCTGCTGTGGGGAGAATTAATCTGTTTAAAAGAAGATTTGGATGCCGCAGCTTATGTATTTTCTGCACAGCTCATATGGATAGCCCCAAGGGTCTTTGCAAGGGTCAATGCCATATTTAGAGATCTGCTTTTGGAGGAGGAAGTCACCAAGGATAAAATTAGAATTTATAGAGTATCTTAAGGAGGCGGGAAGACTGTTCATTTATGAGTCAAGGTTGCCATCCTTTATATACATTTGAGATGCCGGTCTGTAGGGCTGTACAGGTATTATTCCCCACCCTTTCTTTTAATATTTAAAACCTGGGACACAACTGAAAACTGTTGGGGATTTCTTCCTTCAATAAATACACCCCCATTTGGTATCCCCTATTTCCTGAAATGTGTAAGCTCCAGGGCTTCCAGAAAAGGTAAAGGGTGGGAATACGTACTTTGAAACATTTATGACGGTGTTATTTTAAAGTCCTTTGAATTAATGGCAGAATTTGAGATTAACCCCAAGTGGTTTTACCAATACCTCCAACTCATGCACGTTATTAAAGCTCAACCCAACTTGGCCTTGGTGTCCTTTTTTCCATGTCCCTTGTTAATGCTATAGTAACTATTCTATCAACTGATTTCAGATACCTACCAGGAACTACTAGATCAGTTTTTCGCTTGAGGTTCCGTTTTATGTAAATCTCAATGGGGGGAAGACATATGCCCTATTTCTGGTGATTTTTGGGAGGAAGCTCTACAGTCCCTTCAGAACATCTTTGTCTTCTCATAGACTTGGGCAGATATTTATTTTACATAGAGTTTAAAGTACTCCTGACTTTTTTGGTTAAAATTAGTATGAGCGATGACCCTGGCTGTGCTAGATGCGGGACTTTATCTGGGTCCCTTTTTCAGCTTATATGGCGCCATCCCAAATTGAGAAGGTATTGGGCCAAGGTGGTAGGGACTCTTTAACAGTCTTTTAGGGGTTAATTTGTTGGTTAACCTTTTTACCTGTCTACTTAGTTATGTTGATCTATTCATAACTGATCAGAATTTAATGCTGCATTGTTTTGATAGTGCTGTTTATAGCCTGTAGACTAATTGTACTTCGGTGGACTTCCCCCTCAGCCACCTTTTTTTTTTTTTTTTTTTTTTGAATGGATAACAGAGCTTATTGAATACCTTTCTTTTATATTTTTGAAAAATATACCTGCTATCTCAGGCAGGGTTTTTTCTTTCCGCAGGAACCTCCCCCACGAGTCACCCAGTGTGTCCACCCCCTTCCCACATCTGTGCACCATTCCTTGGTTCTACCCCCTATTCCCCTCCCAGTACAGCTCTTTTCAGAGAATACAGAACAAAGTATAATTTTGTGGTGCGAAGTGATTTGTTTGGAATTTGCTGCTAACAAAAAAGGCAGTAAAATAGATGCCCTGTAACTAGCAACAACAGATCCACCACAGGAACAATAGACTCCCAATAGCCAGCTATCAAGGTCCTACCTTTCCTCAGGGCTTGTGCTGCTCCATGTGCTGGCATCCATCTTAGACCTGCAAAGCATTGTGGGATCCTTTATGCTTTCAACCCTCTGCGGCTCCTCCCAGTAGGTGGCGGCTTATCACATTTAAGTCTGCTGTTTGCAGCTGTCCATTGCATTTGTGTCCTGTCTGTTGCACAGAAGCAAACTCCTGTTTAGTTAACTCTTTGCTCTCCTGGATTCCGACTCGGCTTTGGCTAAGACTCCTGGCTTCTGACCCCGGCTCTGGCGACCATTCTTCCTGGCTTCTGACCCCGGTTCTGGCGACCATTTGTTCCTGGCTTCTGACCCCGGCTCTGGCGACCATTCCCGCTGGTTCTCGACTTGATTATCCTGGAAGACGACCTCGGCAGGGGAACTTCTGTCCTACCAAGTCATCCGCTGTTGCTATCGGACTTGCATAGACTCTTGCCTTGTTTCTATGTAAATAAACCTACCTTTAATTGCACCTCCTTGTGTGTCTGGCTCCTCGCTCCCTGACATCAGCAACAATTTATCTTCCAGCAGCCAGCAACAGTAGACCTCTCTCTCAAAAGTAGATCCCTCCCAGCAATGGCGCCCCTACCCCCCACCCCCAGCAACATAAGACCCTCCCCCAGCAGCAATAAATATACCAGCAGCAACAGACCTCCCCAGCAACAATAGACCACCTGGCAAAAATAGATCCTCTCCAGCAACAATAGATCCCCAGCAGCCAGCTGGATAATATACATTAAGTGCTGGAGGTGCCAGTACTGCATTCCTGCTGAAGTCAAGAATAAGCTAACCCTGATTTTTTTCTTTTTATACAGTACGTGAAAGCCGTGTGCTGCTGTTATCACGTTAAACAAAAAATAAAGATAAATGTATATATAAAGTGTAATATTGTTTTGAATGATGTGTAAGACTGCTGCTACCACTGTTGCAGTGTTCTCAAACTACCATAAATTGATATATAAGAAAGTGGTGCACTGTCTCTTTAAATGTGCAAATCCTAAACAAGTGAACACAAAACGGAAAATAAACTAGTGTACAACAGACTGTGCAAAAAAAAAAAAAAGTCCTTTTCATTTGTACTGTATAACAATACTAGCAAATAATAACAAAATATTATTTTTTTTTTTAACCAGTAAATTTTAAATATTGCATTTTTAAATTTTGAACACTCCTTATCAGCCAAGCTTTTTAGGCTTCCTTTTTTTCTTAATTTTTTCCTAAGATTGCCTCTTTTGCTCATAGCCTGGTGTTTATAGAGCTTAATAGCTCATGATTAAATTTAAATATTAGAGAGTTAGAGCAGTGATCATGCCCAGTACTCCTTTTGTACAGCGAAGGTATCAGTTTTAATCAGAGAATGTGTATCTTAAAAGTGGTAACTTCTGTTTTGTGCTCACGTTTGTAAGTCTACTTATCATGAGTTTTTGAATTGTGCATACAGTTCACATTAATAAAAAGTAGAGCTGGACTTTAAAGCTGAAGCTTGGGTATGATTTTTCTTGCATTGTTTTATTGGTCCAACATGGGCTAATGTAAATATGCAAATCTGATACCTGTGTGACCCTTGTGTAAGCTGCAAATCACAGTAGTCACTGCTTACTACAGTGATGGCAGCAATCTTTGGGATCCAGTGATCAGCGACTACAATTCTGCCTAGTATCCATAGGGGATCACTCAACACTGGACTCGGGGGGGACTGCTGCCATCACTATAATAATGACTACTACAGCAATTTTCAGGTTACCCCGGGAACAGCCATGTTTGAGATACATAGGCATACTTTACTGTACGTTAGTCCAAGCTGGACCAATGGAACTATTCATTATAAATGGATACCTTAACTTAATACTTGCTTTAAAGTTTGCTATAATGCATATGTACAACTGTGCTTTTGCATGTGTTTTTATAATTGGCACAATACAATGTTTTGCACAAGCCTAAAATATGGGCACAGTTACTGTATAGTGTTGACCATGAAAACATTCAAATTTAAAACAGGTTAAAACAGAGTGTTTTTAGTAATTTAGTTGCAGAGAAACTTAACATTTTGCAGCCACTCAAGTGTCAGGCTGTGTAACGCACAAGGTTTCTTAACATTCCCTGTGATTTTAGTTACCATGGATATCTGCGTAATCAGTAGGAATAGGATGGCACCACACAGTACATATCTTATAAGAGAGAGAATGCTGCTGTCTGTTAGTACTTAATCTCAATTAGAATTATTTTTTGACGTAGTGCTCGTGTTTATGACTTGATCATGTTTTCTATTCCTGTAGGACCATGCTTCACAGGTAGTACCGCCTGCAAGATGCCTCCCGCTGTGTTAGATCCCATGGACATCTGGGCGGCCGATACACAGCTCCTTCCTGATGTCACTGTGGACATTCTACTCCCCACTGGAATCTATGTTCAGATGGTGGTACCTCGGGATGCATCCATATCACAGATTAAACAGGTGAGGTACTAGCAAGTAGTAGAGTGCATTTTCAGTGGCCATGTCTTTGAAGTTGCTGGAAGGATTTCCTGAAGGTAAATGTAAGACAGATAGATATAGATAGATAGATATATAAATTTTTTTTTTTTTTTTTTTTACATTTGTACTTGTGCTATATTTTCATGATTACATTTTTCACACAAAGTAATGAAATCTGCCAGTAGGCTTGTGCTGAGTTTAGAGGAGCAGAAACTGGAAAGCACAGTCACTCTGTTATGCTATTAATCATAGAGTACATCATGAACCTGTAGAAAGATAATATTGCCTCCACTTGTGCACATCCTATATGCAAATAGATGCAAAGTTTTATAAACTTATACAAATGCTGATGAGGTTACATACATATACCCCATGCCCCTCCATTCACCATTTCATAGCCTAATTTCAAAGGGGCAGCTGCTGATGTATACATTCTTGAATTGGAGGCATGAGACTACTGGATACATATTTTGTGGTATATTTAGTTATAGTAATTGTATAACTAGTGATTAATGTATATCCATCATAAGTGTGTTCAGCTGTACCCTAGTCCAGTAAAGAAGACCATGGGCAGTCAATACACCAAATGCAGGGTTCTGTGTCGGCTTTGCATCTCCTGTTTTCTTTATCCAGCAAACATCTCTCTAGTGATACCTTTTTGTATGTTTGCAGCTTGCATGGAAACATGCACAACGTTACCCCCTTTTCCACTTGCTCCTGGAGATTGACTCCTACATGTTCCAGTGTGTCAATCAGACAGCTGTTCATGAGGAACTGGAGGACGAGACCCGGCGGCTGTGTGATGTTCGACCTTTTCTGCCTGTCCTGAAACTGGTATCCAAAAGCTGTAACCCAGCAGAGAAACTAGATTCCAGAATAGGGGTCTTAATAGGAAAAGGTAATGTACCCTTAGCTGGAAGCTGTTGTCTATCTCTATATTTTATGCACCTTTTGCCTAAAAAGAGGATAGAACACTGTACAATGACCAGTTCTACTTCGGGATATGGAGATAGTCTGTATTGTTTTTTTTAATCTGCACTTTGCCCAGAGTAACAGTTATACAGAATAGCCTGCCCTCTCTGCAACTTATACTTGCCTTTTATGCACTTCACTGCCAAGCTGTTTGCACACTGTGAAAAAGCCTAATGTAAGGGGCGTGCTTGGCATTTACATTTGGCTAATGTCAATTCCTCTACCTCCATACAACTTAGGTCTGGAGACTTGGTTGCTCAGGAACCCATTGCTTTGTCATGGTAGATAGGGGAGATCAGAGGCGTAACCTGAAGCTTGTGGGCTCTGATGGCTTGTGAACTCCTGGAGCATGAGTGGGGTTACCACTGTGACCCCTGCAACTCCTATTGCTATGCCCATGGGGGAAATCATTGAATGCCCTCCCATACCAGGGGAGTACCAGGTTTTGCATCTGGTCCCAGCTGACCGAATATTGAGAAGGTAGGTATGAACAGTTGAGGGGGAAGATTAGTAAAGGAATTCATTTTTCTCTGAACTTTCACCCTGTAAAACAACCCATTCAATTTAAAATAAAATTGAAAGGCAAAACATTTGTGTATACATATAAAAAAAAATAATAAATACATCTTCCCTTTTTTACATTACCTCTGTTCTCCCCTGCATAAGAGTTGGAGGAAGAGAAACAGCAGTACATTGATCTGCCCGGTGAATGGTTTTGGGGGGGGGGGGGGGGGGGGGTTGTGAGGACAAGCCTGATCATTAGATCATTAGAGGAGAGCACACAGAGTTCCCAGCATAGCTAGATAACTGACTACACTGTGCTCTCATACTTATTGCGGTCAGTTTGTAATAGGTAAGCAGAGGGAATGGCAGGATCACCTGGGATTTCACACAAAGGTCCAATACAAAAGGAACAGGATACTTTTTCATACAAGTACATGGTACAGCAGGCACATATCAGGAATATGAAATGTTGTGGAAGTTGTTAAAAAAAAAAAAAAAAAAAGAAATGTAAATCCAAGACTTGGAATAGAACCTTTTTGAAAATGTGCTATATTGTGTTGATGCCCCTATAACCTCCTGACAGAAGAATGGTTTTGTCCAGATAACACCAGTGCCATAAACGTACAGTTGTGTAATATGTGAGCATTCTAGCTCCAGCAAGTCCTCGGGTTAGTGGAATAGAATGAGAAAACATTGGCTGTTTTCCCAACAACTCCCTGATATGTGCAGGCCCTGCCTTGAATGACAAGCTTTGACTTGACTTTGGCAGAGGAATTGAGAACAGAACATTTGACTTCCAAGCCTCAGCATGATCCTTTCCTAAACCTCCTGTCCCTGCAGACTGCCTCCCTTCCATATTGACTCAGGTCCTGCTCTCTTCCAGAGCCTGCTGTGGAACCTGGCTCTGGATCTCACACAGAGCTTCATATAGTCTTTATATCAATCAAAACAAGGAAGGTCTAATAAAAAGTGCAAACCTCGTCCTTACGAGACCGTTTGTCTTTTCTTTTTTTTATAACTGAAGAAGTACTGTATTTTCTGCAGTTTAAAATTTTAGTGTGTGTGTTTTGAATTTCAGCCAAATAGTTTTTAAGCACTTCAGTAAGGGAATGTGTAAAATGTATGGTAACCTGTAGCAACAAGTAAAAAAAAATCCAAGGGTGATGCTCTGGCACATAGATGCATTGTATAAAAAAGTAAATACAACTCAATGTGAAGCATATATCCTTCCGGGTGATACATTTACAAACTTTCAAATACACCCTAAACTATATATATATATATATATATATATATATATATATATATATACAGTTGTGTCCAAAATTATTCAACCCCAATGCTGTAAAGGGGTTTAGGGACTATAGTGTACATTTGGAATTGTATTCAGAATCAAATCCTACAAGGACGTTGTAACTACCCAAATGCAACTAAAATGACATCAATTGTTTATGTAATACAGTAGTAAATGGTTCTTATGTGGTTTCTTCATTGCCACAATTATTCAACCCCTTAAAGACTACCACTCTGAAGAACAGAGGTTCTTACAGGTGCTTTCCATCAGGTATTGAAAACACCTGTGGATGTCACCGAGCAGCAATCAAGCATAATAAGCACCAATTAGGCAGCTTTAAAATGACTGTGATACTCAGCTCCTTCTAGACATTTACTGGGTGTGGTTACAAACATGGTGAAGGCAAGAGAATGGTCCAGGAAGACAAGAGAAGAGGTGATTTCTCTTCACAGGAAGGGCAATGGCTATAAGAAGATTGCAAAGATGTTAAACATACCAAGAGACACCTTAGGAAGCATCATTCGCAAATTCAAGGCAAAGGGCACTGTTGAAACGCTACCTGGTCGTGGCAGAAAGAAGATGCTGACTTCGACTGCTGTGCGCTACCTGAAGCGTAGAGTGGAGAGAAGTCCCCGTGTGACTGCTGAGGAACTGAGAAAAGATTTGTCAGATGTGGGTACAGAAGTTTCAGCCCAGACAATAAGACGCACACTGCGTAATGAAGGCCTCCGTGCCAGAACTCCCAGGCGTACCCCCTTGCTGTCTCCAAAGAATAAGAAGAGTCGACTGCAGTATGCCAAAAGCCATGTGGACAAACCACAAAAGTTGTGGGATAGTGTTCTGTGGACTGATGAAACAAAATTAGAACTGTTTGGGCCCATGGATCAACGCTTTGTTTGGAGGAGGAAGAACAAGGCCTATGATGAAAAGAACACCTTGCCTACTGTGAAGCATGGTGGAGGGTCAATCATGCTTTGGGGCTGTTTTGCTTCTGCAGGTACAGGGAAGCTTCAGCGTGTGCAAGGTACCATGAATTCTCTTCAGTACCAGGAGATATTGGATGGAAACGTGATGCAGTCCGTCACACACCTGAGGCTTGGGAGACGTTGGACCTTTCAACAGGACAATGATCCCAAGCATACCTCCAAGTCCACTAGAGCATGGTTGCAGAGGAAAGGCTGGAACATTTTGGAGTGGCCATCGCAGTCACCAGACTTAAAAACGATTTTTAGGCTCCGATTGAGAACCTCTGGTGGGACTTAAAGAAAGCAGTTGCAGTGCGCAAGCCTAAGAATGTGACTGAACTGGAGGCCTTTGCCCATGAAGAATGGGCGAAGATACCCGTAGATCGCTGCAAGACACTTGTGTCAAGCTATGCTTCACGTTTAAAAGCTGTTATAACTGTAAAAGGATGCTGTACTAAGTACTAAGATTGAATGTCACTTGGGGGTTGAATAAAACTGATAATGCTGTGAGCACAGAAAAGACATTTGTGGTTATTTCATTATAACTGTTATGTTATATTTGTCTGACCTACAAGTGCCTCTTTAATGTAAATGTAAGCAAGATGACTGAATGATCAAAAGCAATGTCAAACTGGCCAAAACACTCAATTTCAGTGGGGGTTGAATAATTTTGGACACAACTGATATTTATATATATATATATATATATATATATATATATTTTTTTTTTTTTTTTGTCTTAATAAGCTACACTGGAAATTGTTTTATTGCCCCAAGTAGGACCAATTTTACTTCCGTAAAAAATAAATCTAAGTTTGCGGCTATGCCTTACTGCAATTTTCAAATCATAATCAGTTTGTACTGCCTTGTTCAGTGCTCCTGTTGCTACTAAGAAAAGCAGGTAATGTGTGTTACTTTTTAAAATGAAACTTTCAGTCTAAAATCCAAAGTGCATTGTCATGTACATTGCATGCATAGTTTGATATTTATTGTGCACGTGGGCTACTTCTCCAGTGTTATTTTAAAGTAATCCTTTTATTTTAACGTGAACCTGAACAATTCAAAATTAACACATGAGGAAAAATATTGAACACAAAGGTTTCCTTGAGTGAAAGCCACACATTAATATGATGAACTGAAGTTGCAGTCAAATCTCAGCTTCTGTAAATATTTGAACAGCGTGTCAACCTTCCACCCAAGCCTCTTTATTGGTCTTTTATTTTTCATGATGGAAATTTTCATTTTACTCATGCTCATTTTGCAATTTAAGTTGTACGGCCCGTATAATCTGTCAGAATTAAAAAAACGGTGTGGCTTTGCGGGGCTCTGCCCACGCGGCCATGTCATTCATTTACAGAGTTCTGTGAAAGAATTACCGTATTTTTCGCTCCATAAGACGCGCCTAGGTTTTAGAGGAGGAGAAAAACAAGAAAAAAAATATTCTGAACCAATGGACTGCAGACACAGTACAGGGGATGACCAGAGACTGTGGACACAGTACAGGGGATGACCAGAGACTGTGGACACAGTTCAGGGGATGACCAGAGACTGTGGACATAGTACAGGGAATGACCAGAGACTGCGGATGCAGTACAGGAGATGACCAGAGACTGCGGACGCAGTACAGGAGATGACCAGAGACTGCGGACGCAGTACAGGAGATGACCAGAGACTGCGGACGCAGTACAGGAGATGACCAGAGACTGCGGACGCAGTACAGGAGATGACCAGAGACTGCGGACGCAGTACAGGGGATGACCAGAGACTGCGGACGCAGTACAGGGGATGACCAGAGACTGCGGACGCAGTACAGGGGATGACCAGAGACTGCGGACGCAGTACAGGGGATGACCAGAGACTGCGGACACGCAGTGCAGGGGATGACCAGAGACTGCGGATACGCAGTGCAGGGGATGACCAGAGACTGCGGAGACGCAGTGCAGGGGGATGACCAGAGACTGCGGGGAGACGCAGTGCAGGGGATGACCAGAGACGGCGGAGACGCAGTGCAGGGGATGACCAGAGACGGCGGAGACGCAGTGCAGGGGATGACCAGAGACGGCGGAGACGCAGTGCAGGGGATGACCAGAGACGGCGGAGACGCAGTGCAGGGGATGACCAGAGACGGCGGAGACGCAGTGCAGGGGATGACCAGAGACGGCG